ATTACGTCGCAAAGCAGGAATGATGATGATGATGAGACAGGTAAAGCCAATCACTTTATTCCACTAAATCAGGGATATTGACTTTGGGAATTATGGGTATGATGTTCGGTGTGCATATTCACTGTCCGGTATGTTTTTAATCAAATGTAAAGCTTTTTAAAAACATTACAAACGCAAAAAAAAACGCCGTCTGTGGGGATCGAACCCACGACCACGTGGTTAAAAGCCACGCGCTCTACCACTGAGCTAAGAAGGCTATTGTTGAACAGTCTATGTATTACTATTATAAATTAATTTCCTTTTGTTAATTAACCTTCATTAGTCATTTCATCATCATAAACCAGTGAAACTAACAGAGAATATCAAAGCAAAATAAGTACACCATTAGAATTTAGAATATGATTTAAAATTTAATAGATTAGGTTACTATAGTTACAGAATAACAGAAGTCTATAAGTTACCCTTCTTTCTTAACAAGAATGTCATAGAAGTATCTTTGTCAAAAAGAATGTCATAGAAGTCTTTGGCATCAATGATTTTTGGCAAATAATTGACGTTTAAATAAAGTTAAGATGTATCACGTGTTTAGAGAGGCTAATAGAGATTTGTTTTTTTAATTAAATTTTGATGAAACTGTTTTTAAAGTCATGAAGCTTATGATATTCCAGTTTAAGTATATTATACTGTACAATAAGTTATAGTTAGGCAGTCGTTAGCTTAAGTATATATGCCCGAATTATGGATCAGGTACTCAAGGAGCTATACGCTTCAGTAAAATTCCTGCTATTGATATTGATACTCTTAGAAAGTACGGAGTATAACATACAATACAACTTACTTATTTTCTCCACTTGAATTCTATAAGAAAATTAAATAAATCAACTGTTTATATAAACCAGCAAAGCTCGGTTTGACTTTAAAAATATCAAACATCGTGACAGTACTATCAGAGAATACCAGCATCCTATCCAAACAAAAAAAGGCTAATCCAGCAAACCCGATTAAGGAATTCACTTATGTGCTGTAATCTTACAAGGCTTGAGAGCAAATAAGACTGATCAACACATAAAATCTAAGCTGTGACTCTGTGTCGTCCCTTTGCTATTCTTCGAGCAATCACTCTCCGCCCACCTTTTGTAGCCTTGCTGCAAAGTAACAAGTAGTATATTAATAACACACATTGCCTGCTACAATCAGCCACAAATGTATCTGTTTTTATATTAGTCATCTCAATTAGCTTTTATTGGCAAGAAATACTAGGGAGAAGTTACTAAATCTCTGTAGCATTTTTTTGATACACGTAATCAAAGCTATAGCACACATATTATGAAACTTTTGAATCCATCAGGCATTGTACTTTTCCTCTCCAAAAAGGAAAGGGCATAAAATTCTTACATGACTTGGACTAAAGAAGTGGGGAGTCAATGATCAAATCATCAAATCATAATTTATTTCATCAGAGAATGGTTATCTGAAAATCTTACAATTTGCTACAAAAGAAAGTCGACAAACAAAGCGATGCACTTTATATGAGACAGAAGAGGAGACAAAATAACTCCATGGATAATAAACAGCAAGTAGTTTTATAATAATTATAATGTAATGGGAAATAAGATGGTTACCACTTAGCCGATATATCCTAGTAGTTCTATAGAAGTTGAGAAAAATAACATTCCATCATAATCAGACAGCTCGTTAGTGATAAATTTTGACATATAAAATAAAATTAAAAAGCAGGGACATGTGATACTTACCGAGCAAAGAATCCGTGATTCCTTTTCCGGCGAAGGGTGCTAGGCTGGAAGGTTCTCTTGGGAAATAAGATCATTGCATCACTTGAAGAATCATCGGCTGCACAGAATTAATGATATTAGATAATACATAATTAAAAATAGGTATACCACACGGTCATGAACTCATGATGCTGAGGATAAGTGTCATAACTCTCATAAGACAATCATGAAACTCTGTAGTAAAATGATTACAAAAAGGTGGCTCAGAATATTCACTATCCAAACAGTCGGGAGCAGGGAGTTAGTCAAACTGCCATCCATCAAAACCAGCTAAAAATCAGCAGATCAAGCAATTGTAGGGAAACATATAGAAGGGTAATATTTCTAAGAATTCTTACATATTTTTGATCAATTGACCTACAACCTCACAGTAAGGAGATAATGCATTAAATTTTATTTGGCCTGACACAAAATTTGGTGCATTGAAAAGTTGAATGAAAGAGATAAAGTCATGAAGACAGATTTAATTTCCATTTTTGCTGAAAGCAACCTATACAACTAACTATTCCATCTCAGAAATATTGAAAACTTTCATGGTATCTAGTTCAATATTAACTGTAGTTAAAAGAGTATTTTTTTTATTCACAGACCATCAACAATTCTAACCATAATTTCTGAACAAAGCCTCATGATACAGGCACAAAACGAAAAGGAGATTGTGGAACAAGAATACATTGAGCTACCAAAATAATACAACGTATATTGGTTAACATTACAGAGACCACCCTGTTGTCTATACTATGCATCAAAAAAGATTTCATTTCTAAGCCCAAAATATGGGCAGCATCGCCTGATAGTCAAATATAGGCCAAAACTCAATTACTAATTCAAGCACATGACTACACTCTATTCAGCTCTTAAATGGATACAAAAGACTGTACACAATCATGTAAGTCCCCTAACACTTAGCTTTTCAGGGCACCACATCTGAGCTCTGCCAGAAGTCATAAGTTCATAACCCAGCAGAAAGCTCAACAACTAATTCAAATAACTTGCTTAGCTTTCTATAAAGAACCACAAGGATACTCTCCATACAATTTTAACTGCAATATTCCACTAACTTTACAGGCAAATAATCGTAGAACTGTCACCAACCATGTTTTCTTTATCCATACAACAACCCACAAGTTTCAATTTGGGAAATAAAGTTCACTTGGCAGTTTGAGATCAGTATCCTTTCCTGCTCTTCATGCTGATAGCAGGCAAGGAAAACATATAGACAGAGAACTGGTTGTGATTGTGATTCAATTGGTCCAATCACAGCTGAGGGGGATGGAAGAGTCACTAAATGAAATCCTCCATCATAAAGGAACCGGAGTATATGTGCTTACAAGTTCCACTACTTTCTTTAAGCCATTAGATAGCTGGTTTCCCACATATGCAATGACCTTTTAAGCAAAGCAAAGCTCCATTCGCCTTAGCATACAAATCGTGCATCCATTACAAGAAGCAGCAGAGCAGCTTTCTACAACATACAATCCACCCATCGCAACTAATATACTACAGAAGCTCACTCTCTGACCTCAAAGCTCAACCCCTAGGCAAGCTCAATCTTGTAACATTAAAAAAAACTGAATCTTGCAACACACGTTCAGATAGCCTACTTTAACCTCACAGACCCAATTGGCTTACCCACAATCAAACACTCTATTATCTCTAATTGCTCGACTTTCTCTAAGTCTCTAACAGCTCAAGGGCCTCGCATTCGAGTAATACTCAAAATGCAAGCTATAGCTACAATTTCATGATTCCAATTTCCAACTCAATTTCAAAATAATCATCCAAAAAAAGCCAACTATAGCTCAAAGTTTCAGCATTGCCTCATTAAACTCAACCACACAAAGATAACAAGATAAGCTATTCCGACTTTCTATGCACCCAATCAAATCCCAATAATTTCCCATTACCAAGTAAAAAAAATTAATCAATTAATCATCAAATGTACGCACATTATTTTTAATCAAAACCCAAATAAATTGCAGAACAAAATTAATTTTAAAAAAGGGGGTGAAATAGAATTACCATCAGGCAAGAAGAATTCAAGGGAAGGCTGACCACAAGGGTTCAAAATCTTTGCAATCTCCAATCTCTTTTCTTGCTCCATCTTCTCGTTTCCTACATTTTCATGATCAACCAAACACGGCCTTAAATATAATTGAAAATTGATCAAATAATAGAGAAAAATAGGAAAAATCTGTACCATTGTTGTTGGAAGAAACGGCATCGTTTTGAAGAAGATACAGAGAGGAGTGAGGATTTGATAATGGAGGGGTAATCAAAAGCTTCGATGATGGGTTTACAGAAGAAGAAAATAGGGTTTTCTGAGTTGATTTCTGAGTTAAGGTTGCGTTAAGGAAGCGAGTTACGATCGAAGCTCCGGAACGGAGTAGGGTTTTAGCTGCCATTTTTGGGGATTTAGAGAGAGAAAGTGAAGAGGAGTGAGAAAGTAAAATTGGAGTTCTTACTTTTTAGGAGAAGACTTAGTTATGGGCCTAAAATGGGCTGGATTATAGTTTGGATCATACCCGTTTGGGCCAAATCGACCCGATCCTCGCAAATTTTAAGATGCATGTGCATCACGCCTATACTTTTAAATATTTAGTAAAAAAAAATATTAACAATTGCAAATTTTTAACATGTAGAAAAAACTCTGAACACCGCAAATTTTGAACAATTAGTTAAAAAATTTGAACAATCGCAATGCATCACATCTATATTTTTAAACATTTAATAAAAAAAATTTGAACATCGCAAATTTTGAACATTTAGTTACAAAAATACGAACAATCGCAATGCACCTCACCTTTACTTTTATTTAGTAAATAAATATGAATAATAAATTTTTTTGGACATTTGGTAAAAATATCTGAACAATGGCAAATTTTGAATTATTACGAGTCATACAAATTTTAAAAGAAGTTTGTCTGACTCGTAATAATTCAATAGTTTTGTGATATAAACTGAACATTTACGGTATACAAAATAAACATTTCTTTATAGAATATAAACATAAAAAAATTGCATGTTTATGTTAAGTTTTTATAACGTGTTTATATTTTTTTCAATAGATTATTCATTTTTTTAAAAATATTTAAATTTTTTTACTAAATATTCAAAAGTATAGACGTGATCATATGGTGCACCTATTTATTTATTTGTAGGTTGCACATAATGTTAATTGCCGATTCCATCTCAATTAAAAGCCCATTGCCCCTTTTTTTTGTTTTTTTTTTTGTTTTTTTTTGTTTTTTGTTTTTACGGAAAATCCCATTGCCCATCTTTGAAAACCCCAGCTTCTTCAACCTGCAGAAAGAGTTCAAATTGTAGAGAGAGAAAGTGATGGAGAAGACAAGCAAAGAGCTGTTGCAATTGGAGCACAAAGACCCTTCTTCTTCCTTTAAAGGTCATCTTTCTCTCTCTAAATTTCTCTCTCTACCTTTATTTTTTTGTATTAACTTTGTTTTGTAAAATAATTGGGGGAGAAGCAGAATCAGCGTTGCTTGTTTGTGGGAAGAGCAAGAAATCGATAGAGGAGAGGCCAAATTCTGAAGGAAAGCCCTTCCCTGCGCCACTCCCTAAAAGCCAAGGTTTTTTTTTATTACTCGGTTATTTTTTGAAATTGCACTTTTATTATAAAGTTCTAGTAATTATTGTAAGATGATATTCATGTAGGATTGAACACCTAATACATTCATATTTAGAAATTTTGTATGAAATTATAATTTTGGAAAATTTGAACATTGGGTAATTTGGGTTATATTGAACTTGTAGAAAGGTTATGATTTTGTGGGTTTTTTGGATGCTGATTGTTGGAGGTGATGCAAAGTAAGGGAGAGATTATGTGTATAATGTTTGGGAACTTTGAAGTTAGAAACTTGTGAAGAGTATAAAGTGATGTTAATTGCTTAACACACTTGTATTGGTATTCACTCTTTGGATGAAGAGGTGCTGTTGCTGTCTTCCCATTTCGGGTTTACCCATGAGATCGCATTCTAGAGTGTGCTTGAATTTAGCTTGTTGTGTATTTTGCTGGTAATGTGTATGTATATGACCATAGAATGGGTTCGAATGAGATGAAAGCTTTCGTTTTAAACTATTTGCTGTATGATTTATGTAGCAAAGCCGGTAAATTGTAAACGTTTTGCTTTAGGTTTATCATTGTAATCTCCATTGGTGACTATGGATTAGGATTGTACTATAATGTAGATATAATACACTCCACAATTTTAGCTTGTCCTCCTAATAACATGAACTTCGTAACAATTTTTTTTTGTAGATTTCTATAGAGCTTGTAACATTAAAAATACTTGCACTTTCTAATCTGATTTGCAGTGCTTGGGAAGGTAAAGGATTTCCTAGGAGTAATTTCTGAAGCTAACAAAACTCTACAGCTTAATGCAAAGGTACGAATCAACAAACCTTACTAAAAGAACTAGCGATTCTTGAGCTCTTCAATCTGCACTTCCTAATTTCTAATGTGAGCACACTTATTTGCAGGACAAACCTGAGGAATTTGATATTGAAGTTTTGCATGGTAATGAATCAGAGTACATTGAAATGGTATTGCCAAATTTTCTCACATCTACTATTGAATATTAGGTGACATCAGGAGTAGTATGTCAGAGCGTACTCTAATGGCTTAAAAATGTAGGATTTGATGCTGGGTGTTGCTGATCTTCAAACTCCAGAGGCCATGGAAGCCGCAGAGGCTGCAATGGCCGGAAACCAACCAGTTGTAGATTTACATACCAATGACAGCTCTTCAGAATCAGGAAGTAGCAGTGGTGATGATGACGATGATGATGAGGATGACAGTGATGAAGATGAAAATGTGAAGGCTGATTCTTCTGAAGGACATTCAGATATGCAGGTAGATGGTTCTTCAAGACAGCAGTCAGAAAGTCGTATTAAGAGAAAACAGCCTAAGATTGTTGTGCTCCCATAAATCCCCTATTTACTTTGAAGAAATGAGTTGCAAATTGGAGATTTCGCAGGTGAAGATTGTTTCAATTTGCAAAGAAATTTAGTGTGCGGTGTTGTAACTCTTGTAAGAGATTACTTGTGACTTGTGAACAGTCCGGATCTATATGTAGTCTAAATTTTGCTACTTCCCTTATACATAGATTGATAGATAGCTATTGTTTATTGTTATGCCCACATTATAGATAGCTAAATTTTGCTCCCATGAACAATGTTGCTTTTATCATATGCAAATCATGTACCTTTTTGGTTTTTGCTCTTGTTTCTCCATGGTTAGCTCTGCTTTCCTACTCTCTATGTCAATTATTTTGAGAAATTACTACTAAAGACCATTCTTTGTGAAATTTGGTTTTAGCCTTTTAAAGAAAAAAAAAATTATATGTACAATCCCAATCTTGATGAAAAGAAGCATTTACAGACAGTTTTTCAATCAGACATTATGCATACTTTCAGCTGAAATACAGCTTAGTTGCAAGTCCAGTCTTTGAAAATATAAACACCTCAAACTGAAACAACATTGCCTGAATTTGAGCCACTGGTTCAGGAGATACCAAGATGGAAGACTTTTATAACATAGCAGATGAAACAATTTTATAATCATCAATCTCCAACTCAACTTGATTACAAAATTTTGTTTGAAATACAACAGCCAAAAGCTACAACTCTACAAGCCACAACTTAAGAGAGGTGCTGAGGACAAATATAACCCCGTAGACTCTTAACTTGAAATGGTCTGGTGAAAAAGAATCAAAAGGCCGGCCATTTACAACATTCTTCAATTCTAAATAACAAATGGAAGCATTTCCTTAAGCTTCCACAACTAGAGAAAAGCGAAGAATAAGAAAGAAGATGTAAACCTAAAATAACACAACATATGCTCCTAGGTTATGTCACTTTGAACTGACGGCTTAATTATCAACCAATGATAGGAATATATAGACGGCTCTTATTGGTCTTCTTTGAAAGTAGACCTAATCCAATCTGCAGCCGCTGTATGAATGTCTGACTCCATGTAGGGAGAAAGAGATATGAGAGTAACAGCAACCTGTCAATAACCACTAAAATTTAAGTTCTTTATAGAGAATAGTATACAAATTAAACAATTATCTGAAGATGCACAATAAAAGCCCTTGTTCTACATCAAATGAAGCAATCACCAATCGGCCAATGGGGGAGAAAAGTGGCTACATTTGGGAAAAAGAAAATGAAAAAAGTGTCCCTCATATTCTACTTACAAAATTGCTTTCAAGTGCTTTGATATCTGAATCTTCGTCCACTCCATCAAGTTCCTTGTCGATAAACTGAAAGGGATTCAAAGACATAATTGGTTCCCTTAATTATCAGTATGAGGCTATATTAACAAATAACAACTAATAATATTCCATTTGTGACTTGTGTATATCTCTGCAAGTGTACAATCATGTAAGAAACATAATATATGGAAGGATACTTGTTTGCCACAGTAAAAAAAATTATGCATGACTATCATCCCATTTTTGTTATACTTGCAATATGTAAATAGATATGAAAATTCTATTTGATGTTATATTGTTGATTCTTATAAGTTTGTCCTGCAAAACATTTCCCACCTCAAGGCGGAAGTGCTTTTTTACAACATGGTTAGCCTTGGATTTCCCAGCTAAACCAACTGATTCAATCTCCACATTCTTCTTTTGACCAGTCAGATGGCGAGCTGCACCCTAAGTTTCAAGAACCATTAGAAGAACAAATATCAAGATCTCTGCCAAGGAAGAAAACATGAATAGATAAAAGTAAGCTGTAATGATCAATCAATGTCGGTGTTAGAGTTTACTCACAGCAGCAGATGCATCTCGACCAAGTTGTGCAAACTGAAAGCCTAAACAAGGTTGATTAGACATGAACGGATGCCTTTTGACAGATGTAGCCTGCCAACACAAAGTAGATCTCCACAAACTTTGCTTCGTCACCTTGAAGCCCTGTTGAAAAGCCAAGTGCAAAGATTATTTCAGACTAAGCTTAGTTATCTTGAACCCAGCTAAGAGGTCAAGTTCATAAGTTATCTAATACTATGACTAAGCTGTGAAAGGCCCCTACAAGTTTGAAAATAAAAAAAACGAAGACAAGAAGCTCAGTTCTATTAAATAAAGCCCTTTAACCAGCATCCCCTAAGATTCCTCAGGTTCTAGTAATGTTCACTCATTTTTGTCAGGAGTTGCAGAAAGACATGAACCTTATTTGTTAAAGGAAATGTAGGGATTTGCACGCTAAATGCACACTTTTTAGGGAAGACTCCATTTTCTATATCTCTAAGAGCAGCTTTAATTATTGGAACTGAAACAGCCACAGCATCCCTGAGATCAGTTTCCTGGCTTTCGTTCTTCTTCCTGTAAACAAATCATATGAAAATAAGTGTAAGTTACACTAATGACATTGTAGCTATATATTCCAACCAATAGATAGTCTTCAACTATACCAATTCAACGATATGGAAATTGAAGGAACACCGCCAATTAATGCTTCTCTTGCCCCAGCGACAACACCAGAGTAAAACCTAAAGGTCCATCAGTGAGAAAGAATTCCAATGGAGAAAGCAAATATAGCACAAATCAAGCTCTGGATTCATTACATATTTACAAACAATATTCCAATTAAGGTGCATTTTGAACATTTGCTTCTTGTTTTTGGCATTGTAACAAAAGAATTTTATAGTTTTGCATTGATTAATTTTAGAGCAAGTGACTAGATATTAAAGATAACGTTAAAAAGTACACAGATTACTTACATATTATGCCCACAATTTGAACCCTTGTTGATCCCACTAATCACCTAAACATAACACTAAATTGGTCAGCTGCAAGGCATAAACCCCTATGTATGCTCTCTATGTTCTGAAATTATGAAAATATGAGTGATACCAGCATAGGTTTGGACCAAGAAAATAAAGCCCCGGACAATGCCAGTGAAACACAATCAACAGGAGTCCCTGTAGTCAACAAAAGCAATAGCTCAGTAAACTAATAAAGCACCAACAGGACCAAGACCGAAAATTAAGTGATTGCATTAAAGAATACAATTGCAAAATACGGCATAGGTTTTATGTGATTGTATGACAAACTGCAAGATAAATATATTCAATTCCTCATATCTCATCTGCATAGTTCAGAACTAGGAATATGGTTCAGAACAGGCTACTCTCAGGTTAAAAAACCGTCCAAGGATTGAGTCTAAGTGTGTAACATATCGAACCACCATAAGGTAGCCGAGTAATCGAGTATTGAGTTGTTGACACCTTAGGTTAAATGAAGAGTCTAAGTAACAAGAATGCCAATAAACATCTTATCATCTTATCAGTCTTTGGATACATTATCAACCACTAAGAGAAAACCAAGCATATATGGTCTAACCAAAAAAGAATCAACTTACCTAATTGAACATGAGGCAAAATTATGTGACAAAAGCAAACTTATCATAACATTGTAGGAAGCAGATATTGGCCTAACATAAAAAGTACCTGAAACCTCAAAAGCTGTGGCACCATTCATCTCAACAGAACTTACAGCAATTGTTTCTCCAAATGTCACCCCATGACCTGATGTTGATTTATCCCTACCATCACAAATCAGCTTTAAATTAACCTTAAGGCAACCCATCTCAATACATTATCATATACCAAAATCAGAAATTTAATGAATAAAAAATAAACATAAATTCATACAAATGTATAACTTTGTTTGTAATTTATAATAAACCAATCACAAATTTGTCAACAAAATCAATTTTATATTAACCAAAAGAGACAAACCCATTTCACAAAAATACAATGTCTTCCCACACAACATAAATAGAGAGGTACGACATTAAATTTATATTATACACCCGGGTGTACCTAAAGCTTCAGTTATCGGATATGGCAAAAGACGAAAAAACTTACATTTGAGGGGCACAGACAAAGACACTGTAAAGACCCTCTTTAACAAGAGCTTCAACAAGGTAGGTGAGCCCAGGGGATTCAATTCCATCACCATTAGTAACCAAAATTCTGGGTTTTTTACAGTCTTCATCTTCAAGATCAAGATTCACATTCTCAGTTTTTGAAGAAGATGAAGTGGGTTTGGAGGATTCATCTTGTTCTGCATCTTTCCTCCTTAAAAGAGCTTGATTAAGGTTAGAAATCAAATTGGGTGGCATGAAATTGTTCTTCACAGAAGTTGTCATTCTCAAACAATTTGTAATTTTTTTAAAAATTAAATCTTTAAAATTAGAATAATTTCTGGGAGAAAATTTAAAAAGGGTTCTATTTTTGAGGTAAGAAGATGGTGTTCCGGTTTAAACGGTGTGTTGAGAGAAAGAATTTGAAAGGAGAGAGAGGGAAAAAGGAGGGGCTGGTTAAACAGAGGAATATTGAATAAACTGGGTGTCTTAATTATTGCTTCTTTTGTGATTAGATTGTGTAAAGAACATAATTGCTTCTTTTGTGGAGTAATTTAAGGTTTTTATTGGATGGGTTAACCTACTTTTGTACACCTCATACCTGTCATACCTTCTTCTTCCATGCCTTCCAATTTTGTTTTTTCTCTAAAAGGAGTAGTATTTTTCTATACGTTGTATAATTGTACTCGTTCTCTCTCTCTAAATATATATATATATATTCATAAACTTTTTTCAACGATTTAACTAGTGTTACTAAGTACTTTGATTTTTTTTTTTTGAGTATTGAAATTGCATGTACTAAACTACTAATATAGTGGAACACTTTTTAGACTAGTTTAACATAATTAGATAGCGTATTGTCATTCCATACTTACAAATTCTATGTAATGATCAAGAACATAAATGTATTATGTATGTAACCAATCTCATACTAGTACATTTTGTTTTGTATGATTATTATTCAAGGTATCTAATCAATCTCATTTAATCTATTTCTATGCTCATAAGAATATGGCCGTGTTTGAGGAAAAGCTGAAAGCTAAAGTTGACTTTAATTAGTTGATTGTATTAACTGATTTGACTAACTTATTTTATTAGCTTATTATAGAAAAGTGTTTAGTAACTAGCTGATTGTTTAAAGCTGATTGATTATGTGAAATGACCAATAAGCTAATTGTGGGATAGGTAGTTCATATAGAATTTTTAATTAAATGGGGGTATAAGTGTCAATTGAATAAGCTAATTGAAAAGACTAATAAAAGGAATTTTTTGAAAAAGAGCTTATTTAGTGGAATATGCTCTTTAAATAAGCTTCCCACCAAATACCTTGAATTAGCTTATTT